TCCCTTCAGTTAGAATCTAGCAGCTAAAGATAAAAGTACCCCTCTGCTAACTAGCTAGCTGCTGTTTGGAGAAGAACAAGAAGCATGCTACAGATAAAGCATAAACAGACACATAACGGTGTAATAATACAGTGCAATATAGTGCTACATCATTTGATGTGAATGCATTTAAACTCTTACTGTCAAAAGATTATTTATCACAGCTTTCTTAAGTCACACAACCAAAACAAAGACACTGAGACAACAGTAAGAAGCATATCTGCAGGTCTCTGGTCTGTAGGTAAGAATTTTCAATACGCTGCTGTCATATTTTTTATCTGTCCATCCAACCATTCACCCCTCACCGCCCCCCGTCTGTTCGGCGTCTTCCTCCAAGGTAATGTGGAAATTCACCAACAGTCCTCCTGCTGCCTTTCCTCTGAAGTCAATATTGTGCCAGAAACACAAAATGTCAACAGGAAATTTTTCTCCACTGCTGCTTGACCTAGAAGTCTGCGCGTGCTGGCAGGGGCGATGGCTTGTGTGCCTGTGTGTGCGCGACAGGAAAAAAAAAGTTCAACTGTGTCATTTATTGTTTAGCACTACGGCCCCCAAATGGAAATACTGACGGGAAACTCCAGCTTCATCAGTGATTGTGTTTAAGGCCCTCGGTAACGCTGCCCGTATGTTTCTGCACATCCTCAGTTAATCTGGTGAAACTGAAGCAGCCATGATGTGTGTGTGTGTGTGTGTGTGTGTGTGTGTCCATGTGTGTGTGTGTGTGTGTGTGTGTGTGTTGCATACTTACTGGTCTGAACTTTGAGTTTGTATGGGTTCTTCTCCTGGATGGTGTGTGTGAACAGAAAGCGAGCTTTACAGCTGTAGTCTGTGTTTGCATCTTGGGCCAAAACATTGGAGAAGTAGAGGTCTCCATTAAGACCCATGGACACTCGTTTATCCTGAGGGATTGGACTCATATCTCAAGGTCACAAGAACAGACAGAAATGAAGAATAAGAGAGAAGGAATGAAACCACATCGATAAGTTTAGGATTTCATATATCAGCTGCAAGTTCAATAATGTTCAATGCTAGATTGGATCTGGGCAGCTCAGCGTGTACCTGAAAAGATGTAAAACAGGTTTTTGGCTCTAAAGTGGTCCTTCCAGGTCATTAAACAGACATGTCTTTATTTTTAAATCTGGTTGAGTCAAAGTGCCTTCCTTCCATTTTTTAATACCTATGCAAGATTTCCTCTTGCAGTGAAAGAATGCAAAGAGGGGCCATGTCATCTGAGCAGCTGGGACTAATAAAACAAATACAGACCACTTCTATATTTGCCACAAGTATGTCTATGTTTGATCTAGAGTTTGACGACATTTCTCAACTAGACTGAGTGCAACAGATGGTTATCCAACGTTTTGATGTCGTTTAAACTTCCAATTCAGTTAAAACACAATGATGTCACTCCTTAAAAGCGTCCTGACGTGTGACAAAGTTATCTTTCCAACAATTTTTTGTTAGGTCCAATATTTGCACCCAATATTTTCGTTGTTGCATGGACTCTGCTTGGTATTATATGCTTTGTTGTGTCATTCATATATAGCTGCTTGAAGTATTACCATGACACATAAGTGATCTCTGGAAAAGCCAAAATGTCAACCTACAAACACAGAAGTAACAATCTCTTCAGGGCTACTGGAAACAGTTTGCTGCTTCTATTTTCACATATAACTCAAATCAACATCAGCTCAAGCAAAACTGGTATGGCCCAGATCTGCCCCACACAACGTGCTTACACATGGCCCACATAGTGCAAACAATGACGGCCCTTTGGTGGCCCAGATCTGGTTTGCCAGAGGTGGCCCACACACGAGCCAGCACATGGCTCGTGTTGCAGACACACTGCTGGTCCTGTGCTGGCCCAGAACAGTTTCAACTCTGGGCCCAGATGTCAGCCTAATGTGTACCTTAATCAAGCCGTGTAATAACAACATGTGCCAGAACATAATAGTGCAAAAGTAACATGACAAAACTCTGTTCAGACTGATTGTTACATAGCACTTTTCTACTCTCCTGGATTACTCAAAGCACTCTATACAACATGCCACATTCACACCCTTTCCATAAACTGAGTGCTTCCTAACTACATTTATACACTTTTATGCAAACTGGAGGAACCAGGGATCAAACCACTAACCTTCCGATCACTAGATGACCTGCTCTACCGCCTGAGCTACAGCCACCCGGTGGTAAACATGAGTAAACCCTCACTAGGTTTTGGATAAAGTGTACACTCACAAACAGTCAGAAGTGCCAGCTTGATGCTGGATCCAGGCCAGAGCTGTTTTCTGTGAGCCTGGGCCACATACACCAAACCACAATTGGGCCAGACCTGCCTGCTATGTGGGATGCTGATGTGTTATTCTACAGTCACTACAGACAATCCTCCAGTACACCCACACAGATGTCAAGGCGAAGCATCCCCCATTGTAAGTGTGCGATGGGTGACATAACCCATCTGACTGTTAACACAGAGCCCCAGGACCAATCAGCAGCTGGGCCAGCAATCCTAATGATGCATCGGTGTGTCTGCTCTGGCTTCCTGTTGTTTGTTTATGACTGTGTTTGTGTCACAAGCTTTATGGTGAACAGGTCAGTTCAGGTTAACAGCCATTTACAGCAATGTCAGTTTCCAAGCAGGACAAATGTCCAGTCTATATTTCAGTTTCAGTTTTACATAGAGAATTATAGACTGGACTGAATAAAAATTGGTATTGTTCAACTAAATAGCTTCTTGCCTCTGGCTGTAAAACAGCTAATGGCTGAACATGAGGCCTGCTCTGTCAGCTAACAGTGGCATGAACTTGTGCAGAGAAGCCTAAGCCTAAGGACCAGAGCAGCACGAGGCGCCGGGAATCAGAAAAAACATCACTTTATTTAGGACACAGGAGTCCTAAATAAAATGCACCTCATACATCAAGCTAGCTGTGCTGAAGAACTTTAACAAAGCAATCAGGTTATCCCTAAGAATGAATGACTGATAGGTGAAGCCAGTCTGGGTTCAGATTCCTACAAGTGTCTCTCTAACAGCGAGGAAACAGATACCACATGCTACAAAAAAGAAGAGGGTTTAGTGATTGGGGGAGTTTGAAACTCACTGCTGTCCATCCAGAAGGTGAACGGAGGAGGCAGACCTGGTGGGGGGTTGCAAGGTAGAACCAGTGCGGAGCCTTCAGTCACAGATACTGGCTCCAGCACCTCCTTAGGCCACAGAGGAGCCTCTGGAGGATTGGGGGAAATATGAACAACAGGATTCAGCTACTAGTTGAAAATATAAGAAATACAATTAGCACTGAGCTGTTGGTGCAGATAGATATCTGTCACCATCCATGAATCCACTTATTACTCCAAAGTTTCAAGGGGTGTGTTCTGCATATCACAAATGAATGAATGACATGTAAACAGCAATTAGTGTGTTCTGTGATCTTACTGGAGACCCGGAGCAGGATTTTGTTGGACAGAGACACTCCAAAGTCATTGGTGGCAAAACATTGGTATTCTCCCTCGTAGTCCTCTGGCCGACCTCCGCTGCGGAAGCCAATCTCCAGGGTTCCCGAGCGTTTTCGCATCGTCACCCTGGGATCTTTCCCAATATTGAAAAACTTCCCATTTCTTCGCCATGAAAACCTAAGATTTAGTTGAAGAAATCAAAGAATTATATCTCTTATAACCTTGTTTTCCAAGAGCAGACATTATCTATGTGTAACCACACTGAGGCAGGAAACACTGGGCAAAATATAACCACAAATAAACAGCAGCTCTCATAGCTGGACTGGCCATTGGGCATACCGGGCATTTGCCCGGTGGGCCGCTGGAGATTTTTTGTTTTTATGGGCCGATGGATTTTTTTAAATTTTTTTTTAGGAAGGGTATATATAATGAAAGGTGTTGGATTGGCCAATTGGTCATGATCGATTCTGGGCTGGACCAATTACAGCCGAGGAGGCCGGATGCACCCTCCCCCTTGTTTAGCAATCATGTGATTTTCGCGCATTGCATGCTGGGAACTCGTGGCAAAACAATCCAAGTACCGCATCAAATGCAAGCATTTGCAGCACCGCAAAACGTTCATTCTCCGGTTCCAATACCTTCTTGTTTTTTCTTTGCCGCACAAAAAAGGAATGTACAAAACGAAGGAGAACAATGCCGGTCCGTACAAAGACAGACTCGACGAAAAGACAAAGAAAAGATACGAGGAAAAATCAAACCAGTGAAAGGGTCAGACCCTTACGAGCACACAGAGGGACAAAAGACGTCAGCGTGCTGCCCAACTTTCACCACGCTCAGATTTATAATTATACGGTTCTTGGAGTGAGTGCACACACTCATGAAGTTTAGTAACTTCAGGTCACTGCAACAAGCCCAGGTACAGTTTACCGATGGATGGGTGCAGGACCTTGAAATGCACCGTGTAGAAAGTAAAGACCATCGTACGAACAAAGGTAAGTTTACCAGTCTCACAAATCGTCGTCATAAATACACATTCGTTAACCGTTTATTAATAGGACCTTTGAGCTCAACGGTAATTAATTAGTAGTGGAAATAATTTCTGGTAGCATAACAGAAATGTAGCAGTGACAATAATATTGTATGTTGTAATCGCACTGGGCAATTAGTGATACAAAACAACTGTTTTACCCTGTGAATAAAAGTATATGTTTTATCTCTTTACCCGTCGGCTTCCTGTGGCTGTCATGCGACCGGCTATTGCAGTTAATAATACAACAGCTTCTTGCCATTTTTGTGTTTCTTTTTATCGCTGTGTAACTGATTTCAATTGAAAGCCTGCGTGCGCTAGTACCTCTTGCCACGAGTTCCCAGAATCCTTTGCGGTTTTACCCCTGAATGACGTCACGTTTTCAATCAATTTTTTGTCCCAGTCCAGCCTTGGCAGCTCTCCAAATAATAAAAGGAAAAAAATCTAACTCAAATTAGATTTTTTGTTTGTGTTTTACATTATTTATACGTTTTTCTCTGAAAGTGTCTGATTGTTTAGACGTATGTTTTGCTTTTTCATTTGAGCTGAAACTTCAGTGGAGACGACATGATGATGATGATGATGATGAGCCTGTATTTGTCACACGCACATGTTCACATGCTTCATGTCGATGCTAAATGTTGCACTTTGCTTCACGTTGCTTAGAACGTCCACAATTTGACTTTTACTCAGTATTTTCTCCTTTTTGTCCACTCAGGACTGCACTGTACAATTTCTTTACCCAATGTTGTCGTATAACAGCTTGTGTGTGTATACATTTTGTTTGTTTTTAACTACCTCTGTCTAGTCTATTTTGTAGTGTGTTTGTAAAAAAGCACAATTTCACCACACCATTGAAAGCTAAGGTTTTTTTTCTTCTCAGACTGGAAGTCCAAATGAAATCCCAGTAAGTCATGTTAAGAACAAATGTTAAGAACAAAATCTTTTCCTTTCAGAAAAGGTAAATTACAATATCATTTCTGTGAGTGTAAGGCTGTTTATATTAAACACATCAGACACCAAGGACACACTAACACTGTGATAATGATCTTTTCATTCAACAAGCAGAAATGCCAAAGTTCTCTGCTTGTTACCAGGTGACATAAGGTACTGCTGATCAATGCACTCGACTAACTGTTCAGAAGAAACCAATACGTGACATGTACACTGGGACCACCTGTATAAAAGCCGACGTTTGGCAGTTTTCTGGTATGCTCAAAAGGAAAGACCACAGAAATAATCTTAGTGATGCAACTGGTGCTGCCCAACATGGACACAACACGATTTCCAGAACAAATAAAAGTCCCTCATTCAACAGTGAGAGTGATCGTGCACAAATGGAAATCAAGCCTCCCAGGGTATACATACCAACCAAGGTCACCCTGAGGTCACACAACGCTCAGAGAAACTGCAAGAACTCCAGAGGCTACATCTTAGTACGTTCAAAAGTACAGTACAGTTTGATAAAGACTAACCAAGCATGGCTTCTTTGGAAAATCTACCAGGAGAAAGCATCTTTATCCATTGGAACATGTGGTTCTATTTCATTCTGTTTTAGTATCGTCTAAGGACCTGATTCAGTCCTAATAAACAAAACCCTACAATTAAAAGAAGATGTATTTTTCACATGACTGTATATTACTCAACTGTTATATGATGGCAGTACAAATATCCACCACACAGTCTGCACGTGCGTTTAGTAATACTTTAATCCGTGTGGTTGGTTAGTGAGGAAGTCAGCTCCAGTTTTAGTGAGGCGTGGGGATTTACAAGTAAAGCTTCCTGTTGTTTTTCAGCAAGTAACAGCTGTGCTCGGCCTGTTTGTGGCGCAGCACAGAGCACCGAACCAGGAGAGTGTGTGTGTGTTATGTAGTTAGAGACTGATTGCAAGTAAGTGAACAATCCTTTTTGGTGAATGATCCATGTCCACCATGTGCATTACTGAAGCAGAGGAGACACAGCATGTGCACATGGCGTAGTGGCTCTGAGTGGCTGTTTGTGAGGTTGTGTACTTATCTGTGTGAACACAAAAATCTTCCTGTCTCCAGTGAAACAATGAACCACTGCTCTGAGCTGCCCATACACCCAGTGATGTAAGCAGTGGTGTCTGTGTTTGTGTTTAGGCCTGGTCTGAGTTTGACTTACAGAGGTGTGACTTGGTGTTAGCTATTCCTTTAAGCCTCATCCCCGTGTGTGAGGCATCAAATGCTCCAGAGCAACAGTGGGACAGGGAAAGGTACAAACACTGTAAACCAATGTGACAGCTCATTTGTGTATGAGCCTCGGTGCTGAGCAGAGCTGAATTGTAAACAGATTAATCTAAAACCATGGATGGCTTTATTGATCCAAACGTCTGTATCTTGTGGTTCCCATAATTTACTCCAATGCTCTCTTCTGGCTTTTCCTTGACCCAAACCTTTTAAGATCTCACATCTCTGAGGTTCTTTCAACCCCTGTTGTGGAGACGGCCCAGCAGCAGCTGCACTTTTTCAAGGGTTTAAGGAGGAATCAGTCGGTGCTGGTGAACTTTTACCGTTCTACAGTTGTTCTACACATGCCATTACTGTGTTGTATGCCGGCTGAGACTATAAGCCCTTGATGTCTCCTCTGACCGACCTCGTCACCTGGAAGGGTAGGAACCTGAGAAGGTTCCTCATCTGTGGTTCCCTCATCACAGACTTCACTAGGTCTCAGGTGGTGCAGTCCGGTACTCGGCCTGTAGATGGCCTTTGAGTAGGGAGGATTGCCATAGTCTGCCAATGGACTGTGTATGTTTTTAACTCTCTGAGCCTAGGAAAGGTTGAGGTCTTGTACAAGCCTTTGGGTGGTGCTTGGAGCCTCTCCACTCCCTTGTCAGCCTCATCAGCTGCAGTATAAATGAACCAGCTCTGCAGCCCAGTCTCTGCTAGATTATTATACTCACCTCTACAACCTGCCTGCTTACCCTTCAACAGCGTCTTCCCTCGTGGGGAAATCCTTTTTGAAATCCTCTGCAAAAAATCACCTGGACTAACTTATGTCTGTCCCCTTGAGCCTGCTTCTCTAGACCTGTGCAGTTCCCAGACTTCCGTTTCCTCCCTGTTGCAACATACAAAGTGCACATGTGTCCATATAAAAGCCTTTTGTCCATAACTGTTCCCTGTGGCCCTTTGATGTTGCTCCTGAGTCACCGCTTCAGCTGGCCACCATCAGCTGGACCAGAGAATAAACAGTATTAAAGTAGCAGGAGTAAAAAAGTAGAATGCTTACATAGAATATTGTTCTTGTTCTATGACAGTAAAGACGGTAATTTGTAAGTTTGCTCACTGATACAGAAATGAACAAGCTCTAATTTTTATGGTAGTGCAATTTTAATGGAGAGAGACAGAATATCAACCAAAAATCCAGAAAAAGCACATTACATAAAGGTTATATATTGAAGTGGATGTCACTGAGTGAAACAAGTATTGATCCCCTACAAACCAGCCAGAATTCTGGTTCCCACAGACTGGCTCGGTGGCACAGAGACTGTAATCAGTCAATCCATTACAAAAACTCCTCATCCAATCTCATTATATGTATAAAGCACACCTGTCCACAGGAGCATTTTCTTCCATTCCAACCTCTCCATCACCATGGGCAAGGACGAAGAGCTGTCAAAGCATGTCACAAGACTGTAGACCCACATAAGACTGGAATGGACAAGACCATCAGCAAGAAGCTCGGTGACATGGTGGCAGCTTTTGGTGCAATGATTCACAAATGGAATTTGTTTGTCATGGTCCTGTGTCTGAGGACTCAGTGTTTTGTGTTTCCTTATGCTTTTGTTCATTCCGAGTGTGTATTCTGTTGTGATTTTGCCATTTGTTAGGTTTCTGTTCTCTGCCTGCCTGCTCCCACTTCTCTGTGTTCCCTCTGTCTGTCCATGGTGTTATTGTGTCTGCTCATGAGTCTGCCTGTCAAGTTCAGTGTCCTGTCTGGTTCTCTGTGTCTGTTAGTTTCCTGTTTTATTCTGAAAGTTCTTGTCTCATGTCAGTGTGTTCAGTTTTACCTCTCCCCTGTCTCGTTAGCCTAATTGCTCCCAGCTGTGTCTCCCTCCTGTGGCCCATTCCCTGATTACTCCCCGTGTATTTAAGCCCTGTGTTTTCCTGTGCTCTCTGTTGTGTCGTCTGTTTAGGTCCATGTCCGTCTGCATTATTCTGTTACCTGGTATTCATTCTGCGTCTCTTTGTGCATTTTGCTCCTCCTCTCGTGAGTGTCTGGTTTAAGTTTTGTTCTTTAGTTTTCCCAGTTTAGGTTTGTTTACTCCCCGCTCTGCTCTTCCTGTTTTGTCACCTTCTCGCCGCTGTAAATAAACACTAGTGATGGTGAGATGAAGCCTCATGATGAACTGAAGCTTTCCATCCAATTGGTCGACTCATGGTTCGAAGCATTGTGATGATTCATTTGCTCTACTGCGCCATCAAGTGGACAATTCAAGTGAAGCGGGCTCTTTGATTAAAATGATGTGTAAACCTTATGTACATCTGGATAATGACACAAACTAGTCTTTGGTGCTACACTTTTTAATAAACTAAAAGACAGAAATCAGATTATAGGATGTGTAGTGTTGTTTATTTATATTTTGGTGTTTATCATTTGTGATATTTATTACTGTGTGCATTCTTTATTAGGAGAGACAAAATAAAAAATAAAACACATCTCTTCCTTGCTGGTTCCATCGAAGAAGAAATGCACAAGTAACTATGTAGCACGTACGTAATCCAATTCCACAACACGGTGTGATGGGGAATCAGCTGTTTTCCTGCCCATGTTATTTCGAATCTGGCGCGAACCGGTGAACCAGTCCCTGAATCAGTCACGTGGTACGGACTGCCCGCGAGGCCTCGAACGTCACTGCATACGTAATCAAAGCAAGCCTCGATACGCGCTTCAGAAAAACGACCCCGCGATTACCCGACGCACGATTCGAAGCTTCGACACACAGGACACATCACTAATAAACACTCACTCGCACCCCAGCCAGTACCTGCATTTTGGATCCTTTTTTCAATACACCACACGACTGCCCCCAGCCGTGACAATATTGTATAATTCATGGTAAATGGCGGCCTAGCCAGTCTCCAGAGCTCAAAGCTATAGAAAGTCTACGGCCCAGTCAAGATTCATCAAGCAAAGTGGAACAGCGTGGCTGGACGTCGACACGGCCGGGAGGTGAATGCCTACAAAGCTGTGACGACACTCAACAATGTTGCACCACAGCAACAGGAAGTTGTGCCAAAATCCTTCCATAATGGTGTGAGAAACTGATTACATGGAAGTTATATACAAAACCTCAATGTTTTTCACACAGTACATCTGCATTTTGGCTTAATGTGTACAAACAAGTAACTCCACTGTGTCATTTGCTGTTCTTTATGGATGCTTTGTTTTTACCATGACTCATGTTGGGAGTGTGTGTGAGCTTACGTTGGCACTGGGTTGCCCTTGGCCTCACACTCAATGATGATGTTATCTCTGGGGTCCACAATGTAGTTCTTTACTGACTGTTTCATGATAGTTGGGGGCTGCTTCACTGGGAGAGAGAAACAAGACAGTAGCTTTAGTAGAGGTTCACCACCTAATCACATCCACTGGAAGAAAACACAGCATTATATTTGTAAAGAGCCATCATGGTTTGGCATTTGATGCTTTCTATGAATGTTTTAGATGTTGAACACTTTCTATTATTACTGTGCTTTAGTAATAATGCAAACAGACAAACAGTCACTTGTAGCAGGCCCATAAATCAGCGTCTGATGAAAACTCTAGTACATTTACACTAGACTGTTGAGTTTAGTATGGGAATGTTATGTGAGGGGGGCTCCACAAGGACGACCTGGGACTAGATAGAGCATTGTTTATCAGAAACTGTTCAATAAATTCCATTTTTCTAAGTTTGAGAGATATTTGCTGAGATGGAAATAAAAGAAAGTTGAGATGTCCTTGATTGATTTGTGCTTGGCTCACTTTTTCACATGCTGCATCACAAATGTGCATGCCCTACAAAGTCAGGTCATCAGCAGAATGTTTCCCAATTTTACTTGTCAATGACACGTCAGAAAGACCCAGACTGTCATATAGAAGCACATGCAAACAGTGCAGCCTCCTAATATGGCCTCTATTCAGAGGATGTTGCAGGAGTGACATTGAAGGCTCTTATGTTTTTACTGCACGTGCTCACTTTGGCTTACTAAGTGCATACTTTTGCTTTCACTTGCGACTGCTTGGTCAGGTTTAGACTGTGTATGAGGTTAAAATATGTTTATTGTGCTCTTGACTTTAAACTTTGCACTTGACAATGATGATGATCCTCCAGTGCATTCAAATCTGGTCTTAAGTGAGGATTCATGACGGTGTTGATGGAGTCACAGCGCTGCTTTAATATTACAGTTTGGACCTTTTTTAAAGAATGCCACTGGCTTTGTTAAAACAACCATATATGACCCTCTGAGTGAAGGACAACAGGTTTGCTCTGTACTGAACGTGGGGACAAAAACATGTTAGAACACTTACAGTCTTGCTGGATCTTTGCTGTTAGTCCAAAGTAACGCCAAGGAGAAACAGAATAAGATGCACAAGTTGTGATTGTTAATCATATTAGAGACAAATACACATTAATATTGTACTATGTTACAGCTGTTATCATACACAGCTCAGTGGTTCCCAACTGGCCCACTAAGCTCATTTTAAGTGGGTCAACAACAATATTTAACAGTGGTAAAAATTCATGAAGTACTCCATGTAGGTGTGACTGTCTACAACCAGCTCTGCCAAGTATCACTGTAGCTTTGCTATGTTGAGCTAACCCAGCAAGCACGAGCAGAGCCAATCATTTCAAGGAACGATCATGTGGGTACATTCATCTGTAGTATGGAAGCAGGTGTTCTCAGTAAAGGGCCCTCAGGTAGCAGACAGGGTTAGATCATGTTGAGAAAGGACTGCTTTGGTTTCCTGCAGACAAGCCGTCTCCATATAAAGCTTTGGAGTCAGGTCCACATGCCAAGTACAAGGTTATCAAATAAGTGCACCAAAATTGCACCAAAAATCATCTACTTTCACCAAAAGGTGGCAGCTCGAGGAAGTGTTAATAGGAGGCTCCATTTGAAGTTGCTGATTTCTTTTTTTTATATACACATTTCAAGACTTATAGATCAGATCTATACATATCTTCACAGACCCTATTTTTATCTTGAAAGTACTTTTTTCTCTTTTTAGATCTCACAAGTGCATTACTGGATATACAGGGAGTGCAGAATTGTTAGGCAAGTTGTATTTTTGAGGAATAATGTTATTATTGAACAACAACCATGTTCTCAATGAACCCAAAAAACTCATTAATATCAAAGCTGAATGATTTTGGAAGTAGTTTTTAGTTTGTTTTTAGTTTGAGCTATTTTAGGGGGATATCTGTGTGTGCAGGTGACTATTACTGTGCATAATTATTAGGCAACTTAACAAAAAACAAATATATACCCATTTCAATTATTTATTTTTACCAGTGAAACCAATATAACATCTCCACATTCACAAATATACATTTCTGACATTCAAAAACAAAACAAAAACAAATCAGCGACCAATATAGCCACCTTTCTTTGCAAGGACACTCAAAAGCCTGCCATCCATGGATTCTGTCAGTGTTTTGATCTGTTCACCATCAACATTGCGTGCAGCAGCAACCACAGCCTCCCAGACACTGTTCAGAGAGGTGTACTGTTTTCCCTCCTTGTAAATCTCACATTTGATGATGGACCACAGGTTCTCAATGGGGTTCAGATCAGGTGAACAAGGAGGCCATGTCATTAGTTTTTCTTCTTTTATACCCTTTCTTGCAGCCACGCTGTGGAGTACTTGGACGCGTGTGATGGAGCATTGTCCTGCATGAAAATCATGTTTTTCTTGAAGGATGCAGACTTCTTCCTGTACCACTGCTTGAAGAAGGTGTCTTCCAGAAACTGGCAGTAGGACTGGGAGTTGAGCTTGACTCCATCCTCAACCCGAAAAGGCCCCACAAGCTCATCTTTGATGATACCAGCCCAAACCAGTACTCCACCTCCACCTTGCTGGCGTCTGAGTCGGACTGGAGCTCTCTGCCCTTTACCAATCCAGCCACGGGCCCATCCATCTGGCCCATCAAGACTCACTCTCATTTCATCAGTCCATAAAACCTTAGAAAAACCAGTCTTGAGATATTTCTTGGCCCAGTCTTGACGTTTCAGCTTGTGTGTCTTGTTCAGTGGTGGTCGTCTTTCAGCCTTTCTTACCTTGGCCATGTCTCTGAGTATTGCACACCTTGTGCTTTTGGGCACTCCAGTGATGTTGCAGCTCTGAAATATGGCCAAACTGGTGGCAAGTGGCATCTTGGCAGCTGCACGCTTGACTTTTCTCAGTTCATGGGCAGTTATTTTGCGCCTTGGTTTTTGCACACACTTCTTGCGACCCTGTTGACTATTTTGAATGAAACGCTTGATTGTTCGATGATCACGCTTCAGAAGCTTTGCAATTTTGAGACTGCTGCATCCCTCTGCAAGATATCTCACTATTTTTGACTTTTCTGAGCCTGTCAAGTCCTTCTTTTGACCCATTTTGCCAAAGGAAAGGACGTTGCCTAATAATTATGCACACCTGATATAGGGTGTTGATGTCATTAGACCACACCCCTTCTCATTACAGAGATGCACATCACCTAATATGCTTAATTGGTAGTAGGCTTTCGATCCTATACAGCTTGGAGTAAGACAACATGCATGAAGAGGATGATGTGGACAAAATACTCATTTGCCTAATAATTCTGCACTCCCTGTAGTGGTTTACACATTTGCATAACAGGCCAAAGATCTCCAGTTCAGTCCCAAGATGATGCACAGATGCTTTTCAGGTTGCATCTGGCATAAAAACATCAAACCTGCAGGGTGACTCTTTACAAAGGGAGCAGCTTTACTTTTGTCCAATCACAGCAAGAGATGTGAACCCACTGTCCAGCAGAACTGATGTGTTTTCATGGCCAGTAGAGAACCACTGTTATAGCTTGCATGTGTAAGTATGTACTATATTAATTCCACCCATTTGCGTCTGCTTATCCTTTTCAGGGTCGCGGGGGGCGCTGGAGCCTATCCCAGCTGTCATAGGGCGAGAGGCAGGGTACACCCTGGACAGGTCGCCAGTCTGTCGCAGGGCCAACACACAGGGACAGACAACAATTTGCACTCACATTCACTCGCACATTCACAGCTAGTGGCGCACAGAAAGACCCCGGCCTGATGTTGGAATTGAACTCAGGACCTTCTTGTTGTGAGGCAACAGTGCTAACCACCGTGCCACCCATTGCTACTACTACTATATTAGTGCTTTAAAAAAAAAACCTAGGAGTGGGAACTCTGGTGAAATCGAATGAGGAACAGTGGATAAAGACTTACCTGTAGTGAGTTCACATGCCAGGAAAGGACAAGCAGTGTGGGACAGAGAGACAACATACTATTACAGCACTTTACCAAAGGAAATATACAGAAGATTGTGTTATGTGAAGAGTACAATAGGAATTATTTATTTAGTTTGTAGACTCTTAGTACAAAAACGCGCTCGCTGGACTCAGTAATTAGTTTACTGAGATGGATACACTGGAACGTCCTGAAAACTATTTTAAACTTGGATGCAAACGAGTTGATTTTGGTGTCAGTGAGGCTGCTGCTAAGAACTTTGTTGTCAATAATTTCCAAGTATCTCCCAAAAGCTCCAACCTGCTCTCAAAGGATGTTTTCACTTTTCACCCAAACAATAAACTAAAACAACCTGACATGGATTCTCTCAAACATGCTCATGTGGGTAGAGGATACAGTAGAAACACTATCAGATGTTACTTTCACAATAACTGCATGAGTCACTTCCACTGCTCGCCACACTTGCATTACGTTGATGATCTCCCCTTTACAAATAAGGGGAGTAGCAGAGCTTGTTTGTTCGGTGTCACGCTGTGTCAGAAGTAAATGCTTAAAGGGTTAAACGGTGAGCTGAAGCCAGGCCCTAAAAACATCACACTGAACTAACTGTTAGAAAAGTGAGGTGTGGAACTACAGCTAGCATCTTTATAGTTTTGATGCAGCTTTGGGTGACTTACGGTCTTCTGGGACTTCAATGGGTGCTGCTTCCTGCCACAGTAGCAGCAGTAATGACATGAAAGTCAGGGCTGCATGCTTGTCCTGCCACAACATCTCTGTCCCTCCAAATGGCTGAGTTTGCCCCTCAAAGTTGGCCAGACTCTGTCCTGACAGCCGATAACCTGCGAGCGGGCAGACAGAGAGAGACGCATTAGACGAAGACAGTAGACTGACAGTGTATGTACAACAGACACGCGTGTGTGTCTGTGTGCGTGTGTCTGTGCGTGTGTGTGCATGCGTGCGTGTGTGTGCGTGTGTGTGTCTGTGTGCGTGTGTGTGCATGCGTGCGTGTGTGTGCGTGTGCGTGTGTGTGTGTGTGTGTGTGTGGCAGTTCTTCTGCGCAGTGTACCAGGGGCACATTTCAATGTGCTTTCTAAATAAAGATTGA